ATGCAGGTTCTAATACTTGTAGATATATATTTAGAATATGATATACAAGGGAACATTTGATAAAATAGGAATTTCTAGCTTATGGGGGTGTAAAATCTGAATAACACTCTCTAAGTGATGTTTGGTGTAGATTTTGAAGCTGGAGGTCTCAATATCAGAAGAAGAAACACAATTGTATTTACACTTGGTGAATGTAAATTGGCTTCTATGATCATTCAGAGTTAGTGATAAATTTGAAGCTATTCGTACTACAGAAAGCAAGTTACATTGTCAAATCAGTTTATCAGCTAGAGTCTTAGTTTATAAGGCTCAGGAAAAGTTGCCATGCTTTACAAATATCTACTCTCAACCACACTATAGTACATGATCTTTTGAATACTCGATGGTTAAACATGTTATATAATGGATCAAGATCTTTTGGTGTATCTATCTTTAACGTCTCTTGTATTATGGAGAAAGCAAAGACACTTGATCAAGTTATTTCTCCAACGACCAGTCTTCTGCAAATGATATTTAAGTAGATGAAGGTTCAAATTGAATCGTTAATAAGGATCAACCTGATAGAGGAGTAACAAGATCAGCAATTATTAACACAATCATGTATGTAGAATATCTATTGTAGGTTGTAATTGTAAAAGCCTTAAAATTTCTTAAACATTGAATATCTTAGAAATCTTAAGAGTTTTAGGTCTTTGTTATGGTAATTTCCCTATACCTCTAATATTTGTATCAATACATCTTGTTCTTTATTCTTCTGAACATGTTATTTAGAAGTTTAGATTAAGTCTCTCGCCAAGATGCTTGAGCCATGTAAGTCTCCTGCTATGTGCTAGAGCATTAAAAGTCTTAATCAAGTGGATTGATTGAGAAACTAGATTCTCTCGCCAAGATTCTTTAGCCATGTAAGTCTCATGTTATGTGCTAGAGCGATGAAAGTATTAATCAAGTGGATTGATTAAGCAGAAGTCTTGAATCATTGGGATTTGAGCAAGGAAGTCTCAGGTCGAGGATCTGAGCAGAAGTCTTGAACCTGATGGGTTTAAGCAGGAAGTCTTGGGTTCATGGAACTTGAGCATGGAAGTCTTGGACCATGGGTCTGAGCAAGAAGTCTTGGGGCAGAGGGGCTTAAGCAGGAAAATCTTAGGCCGAGAGTCTAAGCAAGGAAGTCTTAAGTTTGTATGACTTAAGCAAGGAAGTCTTAAGCCTTAGGGGTTTAAGCAAGAAGTCTCAGACTTAGGGTCTGAGGATTGTAAAATTCTTATACAGAATGCATAAGCAATTGTAATCATGATTTTATTATACTGAAAATCTCTTGTGAAGCAAAGGGACTTAACTACTCTCATTTGGGAGAAACCAGTATAAATATTTGTGTCTTATGCTATTATTTATTTACTTATGTTAACATTTCGTTGCTAAGTATAACCAGAATCTGAACCACCAGTTTAGATTCTGAACTCTAATCAGACGCAAATTAAGAAAATGAAAAACACAATTCAACTCCCCCTTCTTGTGTACTTTTCTCACCTTCAGTTGGTATCAGAGCATGGTTTATACATAACACTTAACAGTGATGCAGATAATGATCCAGTGAGAAAAGTATGTTTGTTAAAGACTTTCCTTCAAGAAGGAATCAAGTGCCACATGAAAAATATTACATTGTTTTTCCTACCATATTTAAAGGGTGATTCTGCTTAATTTAAATGATGGAAAAGTTAAATATATTTTTAATTCATTGTACTTGATAAAGGGTTTTGTGAAAGTCTGTAGAGTACCCTTGAAAAAGGTATTACTATAGAAGTTGATGGTGTAGAGATGATCAAAGTTTGAAAGTCACTCTCACCGGCTCAAAAGAAGCTTATTGAAAATATCTTCAAAGGTAGATGCATTATGATAGGTGCTCTATCTTGATTTTGAGTATATCAACATCATTGATACGTCTAATGCTCAGACTATCTTTGAATCCTTTGTGAGTTTAGGACATTCCGGTTTGATGTGGCCATATTTTCCACATTCATAGCATGTAATGTCTCCATTGTATGTTGATGTTTTTTTTCTTTATTCTTTGAGAACTTCTTTCTTCTTGTATAACTACAGTTTCTAATATTATTTTTTGCACCAAAATATTTTCCTAGTCTTTTTACAAGAAGCGTAAAATTTGCGTCCTCTTCGGGATTGTCTTCTTTCTCCACTTCTTTGGATTCAACTTTTAAGGCAATGCTCTTGGATTTCTTCTCTTGAATTTCATGTTTCTCCAATCGTCCAAGTTCCATTTCATATTCTTGGAGTTTTCCTAATAACGTAGCGGATGTCATTGTCGATAGACTTTTCTTTTTGGAAATCGCTGTCACTTTAGGTTTTCATTCTCTTGATAAAGACCTAAGCACTTTGAGATTAAGTTCATTATTTGTTAGTGTCTTACCAAGTGCATTCAAGTGATTTGTCAAATGCACGAATCTTTTCTGCAAGTCTAGGATAGATTCTCCTGGTTGCATTCTGAATAGTTCGTACTCTTGACTTAATGTATTTAATCTGGATCGTTTGACTTTGGCGGTTCCTTCGCGAGTTTCAACAAGAGTGTCCCATATTTGCTTGACCGTTGTACATGTTGAGATATGGAAGAATTCATTCATTCTAAGTGCACTTTACAAGATATTTATCGCCTTTTATCATAGAGAACATTTTTCTTATCATCATCGTCCCATGATCCTTGCGGTTTTCCTGAACCAACTCCGTTGACGACCGTTGTAGGAATGAAATAACCATTTTGAACAGTCTCCCATATTTCACTTCATTGTGCTTTCTAGATGTGCCTTCATGCGGATCTTCCAGAAGTCGAAATATTCGCCACAAAACAAAGGAGGCTTGTTGCTACTGCCACCGTCTTTGAATACAAGATTGTTGTTTGCGGAAGCCATCTGGATCGAATAGGAATAGGTTACCTATCACCTGCTCTGATGTCAATTGTAACTTGTAAATACTCCTAAGAAGGGTGGGTGAATTAGGTTCTCAAATTTTTTTTGCAATCTTTTGCAGTTCTTGGTTCTTTTTCGGTTAGAATGTTAAGACTTGAAAATAAAGTGCGAAAAAGAAAAAGAGACACAAGCAATTTATAGTGGTTCCCCTCACATTCCGAGAGTACTCCACTCCCTTTTCGACTCGAAAGAGATTTCACTATAGTTTAGAATGATTGTACAGCCTAATCACACCAATGGTGAAGCCTACTATCTAATCTATAGGTAATCCAAGTGTAGGAAGAACAATCCTCTTCAAACACTTCACTTGTTTCCAACAATCCTAGAAAACAAGGTAATACAAAATATAATCCTGAAATAAGTTTGATATCTTTGAGAGTACGATGCTATCAATCTCCATGATCGATCTTCTCCTTGAAATAAATATTACTCAAAGAAATATACAAGTGCCCTTTCAAAAAAAGTGAAATGAAGCTGTGATAATGTGAAAATTTATTCAAAAAGCTTCTTTTCAAAAAACTGTTTGTGAACACTTTTTGAAAATTTGAGAGATGAAGAGAATGAGTAATTTTTATGATTGAGTTTCTTGGAGGTTAATTGGAATTTGAAATTTGAAATCAATTTATATTGACAAAAAACCTTTACAAAAGAGTGTGAGTTTATGCAACAAAAACAGTCAGAAATCAAATAGAAAGCAATGCATATTTTCATGAAAAACTGCCATTTTTGTTTACTGTTTCAATGTTAATCGGTTAAGACTGTAAAAGTTTCACCAGAAACTTAATTTTGAGATCTGTTAATCGGTTAACAGTGAAGGATTTTCAAAACAGAATTAATTTTAAAATGAGAGATCAACTAAAAAAAGTTTTAAAAGTATTTGTGACATATGTGTAATGAAATATGAATTTTTGAACACTTGTATATGTATTTCAAATAATATTTGTTATACCTTTGAGTTGATGTTAAAAACTCTATCTTCAACACTTGAAGCTTGTATGAGAAGCTTAGATCCAATTGTCACATGCTAGAGCATTATCTTGATCCTTGATGTTTACTTGAATCTCTTACTTTTTGCGTATGTATATGATGCGTAGAAAATCTTGTTATTGTTGTCTTCATCAAAACTTTAATGTGCTTGAAGCTTGCTTCTATAATTCTTCACATCTTCTAGCCCACAATTGTTGCAGTCTATTTTCCAAAGCATTTTCACAATCACACCTTTTCTCCATGGAATTGCTATGCCTTTTTTTTCTTTCCAGAAAGTATGAATTTAGGGCATTTATATTCTTCAAACTTTATTTCCTCATCTCTTAAGCTTCCTAACATGTCATTGTCAATAGTAGACTCATCAGTGGTTTGAATTCCCGCACTTGACATAGCACGTTCCATATTCTTTTCTCCGTGTATCTTTATATGATATAGTCTTCCTCCTACCTTTCTCGTCTATACGTGAGTGTTAGATCATCATACACAATGAATTGAGTATTTTATTTGATTATTTTGACACTTAGATCTTTCTGATCATCTTCCTCAAATTGATTGAAACAATTCTAAATTTCTTACCGCATTATAACACTCATGATTCTCGATATTTTAGTAAAAGAAAATATTTATAATCAATTAATAATCATGATTTTCTTATTAGACAAATCATAATTGATTGATAATATATCTAAAAAAATGAGCAAAAGGAAGAAAAAAAAAATCAAAATCTAGCACATTCAATCTGAAATCTCTTCCGTATCATAAGAAACTAACATTTGCTCCATCCAATCACACTACAACACCGCATAAGCCCTGCCAAATTCCATCATGTGGCATCACACGATTTAACCGAGTGACTCTAACCGTGGTCGCGTTCGCAGGAGATAACTAACCTTTCTGTTTATAAACCAAAAAGAGTGCAGCACTTTCAATTCCTAAATTCCAAATTTTTGCTGACTTCTTTCCTGTGTTTGCGTTTTCCCCCAAAAAGAAGCAAAACCCTCTCCTCCGCCGTGTGCGGTGGTGAAATTTGATCGGAAAAACATGAAGATTAACGTCAAGACTCTGAAAGGGACTCACTTTGAGATCCAAGTGAACCCTAAGGATACGGTAAAAATCATTTATAACACTTTTAATTGATTCAATTTTTTAGGTTTTTGCTTTTTTTTTTCAATTTAATTTTTATTATTGTGTTGAACGTTTACATTTGTGTATAATGCAATTGAATATTTGAATTGAAAATTTTAATTTTCTGTGGTTAATTTGATATATTAGGTTCTTGATGTGAAAAAAAATATAGAGGTAGTGCAAGGTGTTGATGTTTACCCTGCTGTACAACAAATGCTTATTCACCAAGGAAAAGTGCTTAAGGATGAAAGTACCTTGGAAGAAAATCAAGTTGCTGAGAATAGTTTTGTTGTGGTTATGCTTTCCAAGGTGATGATGATGGTGTTATTTGAATTATTGGATTGTTTCTGTACTCATTTTTAAACATGATTTTAAGTGTTTAAACTAATTGAAGTGTTGAAGCTAGGGAGCACGTTAAGTGCGCAAACACACATGCCCTTAATTTAATCGTGTTAGGCATACCACGGGATAGTACTATTGTTTAATGGGCATATACTGATGGTGTAATTTAGGTTTACATTGGCCTCCAATGAGAAGCTTCCATGTTTTTCTGTTACGACATAAATTTCAATACTGCAGTTATAAAAGTTTGGTGACGTGGAAAAGTAGTGAAATTTAATTGGGCTATAGTGTAACACTGATTTACCTTAAAGATGATTATTGTGTTTTAATGATTAATGATAATACTTAGACATTTTTTAATGAGTTTTTGATGTGTAAATGACTGGGTTGGAGTGAAAACGAGCCGTGCTTCAATTTCAACCTTTCCTCTTTGTTTTCTGGCTCCAAGAAATTGGAGACTGATAGTTTGACAATAGGCAGTTCTTACTATTATATATTGGAATTGTGTTGTGTGTTTGCTGGTAATGGATGCATTGAATGTTGATAAAAATTGTTTCTATTGCTTCCTTTTAGAGGGGGAGAGCAAGAAAAATGATAGGCGTGTTGAGATGTAGCTAGTTTGTAACATTCTGTCCATTGGTTTACTGCTAAACTTTTGTAGTGATCTGTTCATTGCAGAGTAAGGTAGCAGCTGCTTCATCTGCACCCTCAAACCCAGTAAGCATAAATTTTACATTTTCCATCATTATTTAGTTTTTGTTTTTACTTCACCTGTTGACCACTGAAATCTCATTATTCTTATCTCTAGGCAGCCCAACCTGCAAGTTCTGTGCCTCCCCCTTCGTCAACACCTCAGCCTCCTGCTTCGACTGCCAGACAGTAAGTTCATATTTATTTTTATGGCTTCATAGTTTCAGCTTGATGAATGTTCTTATATTCAGTTTTTGTGTAAAATTCTTTTATTTTTCCCACTTTGTTTTCAGGGGAGATTCCAATCCTGTGCAAGCGCCTGCTGTTACTCCTCCCACTACGTTAGTATCTGCCATTTTCTCTATGATGGCTTTTAAAATTTTGTTAGCATATAAATATTGATGTTAATTTGTGGCAACCTTGAGGCCGCACCATCTGTGGCTCCCTTATATAGATAGTGTTGTATTGTTATTATTCTCTTATTCTGGTCATCTGTTACTTTTCTGCTGAAAATCACACGTACTGCAGCTATCTCTTTTAGGGCTACGATACATATTATCTTTTTGTGAACTCACAATTTTTGTGTGTATGTTTATGGCAGTGTGGTGCCTAACACATATGGCCAAGCAGAATCTAATCTCCTTGCTGGAAGTAATTTAGAATCAACTATTCAGCAGATTCTAGAAATGGGGGGAGGAAGTTGGGATCGGGATACTGTGATCCGAGCTCTTCGTGCTGCATATAACAATCCTGAAAGAGCTGTTGAATATCTCTATTCTGTAAGTCTGCACCCACAGAGTCTCACTTTTCCGTGGGGAGTATGAGTGTTTTTGCTGTTAATCTGGTAACTTGTTTGTTAGAATGCTTTTAGAGAATCCACTGCGGTGGACTCCATTTTAACTTGTTTGTTGGAAGGCTTTTAGAGAATCCACTGCGTTGTTCTCCATTTTTAAATTTTGATTGACTTAGTGCCACTAAAGAAATAACTATTTCTACAAAACTTATTATGCTTTTAGTAAAATGCAATCTTGTGCCACTGCCAGTACAGTTTTAGTGATTTTACTAACATGCCTCTAGCATGCCTGTATACAAACAGAAGTACTTCTACAAAACTTATTATGCTTTTAGTAAAATGCAATCTTGTGCCACTGCCAGTACAGTTTTAGTGATTTTACTAACATGCCTCTAGCATGCCTGTATACAAACAGAAGTACTTAGAGCAGCTAGGGCTGGAAATTAGTTCGACAATAATTTGATTCAGTTCGAAACTTGTCTTGAGTTGGCTACAAACATTTTTTAGCTAGAAATTGACTCGTTTTTTAAGTTCACGAGCAACTCGGTTCAGCTTGTTAGATTGAGTTTGTTTGCTTGAATCACATAATTCAAAAGGATGGTCATGAACTAAGTTCAACGTATTAATTGTTGAGTTGAGGTTTGAACTACGCTCGAGTTGGTTCATTGTCAGCCCTAGTGGAAGCGATTTGTTTATAACAATTGCATAATTTTTGCAGTGTAAATTATGTTGAAATAATGACCTTGCCCATATTACATAGCTGTCATATTTTTATCACTTGATGCCATAAATATAATAATCTGTGTATTTATAGTGATACCTAAATTGAATAGATAAAAGATTTTTGTGTATCAGTATTATGTTTTGTTATCCAACATTTTTTTATCTAATGTCGATGTTAAATTTAACTGATAGGGCATCCCCGAACAAGCTGAAGCTCCAGCAGTTGCTGCATCCACAAATGTTGGGCAGGCAGAAAACCCTTTAGTCCAAGCTCCTCAACCAGCCGTGCCTTCTGGTGGGCCCAACACCAACCCACTGAACTTGTTCCCCCAGGTGTGTACTATGTACTATCCCTCTTTCCCATGTAGTAAAATTTAAAGAGTAATGGTGCTAGAATTATAATGGCTATTTTTTGAATCAGGGCATTCCCAATTTGGGTGCAAATGAAAATGCAGGCAACCTGGATTTCCTCCGAAACAGTCAACAGGTAGTTTAATTGTGTTTTCTATGAAGGAGTTAGGCTCCATTCTATTAATTTTAACAATTCTTACATCATACTATTTTCCTTTGACATTTCAGTTTCAAGCTTTGAGAACAATGGTGCAAGCAAACCCTCAAATCTTGCAGGTATCACTGGTTACTTGTAGAGACCTGTTTCTATACCTTTCTAGGACATCTTAAGTCATTTTTGTTTCCTATGCAGCCCATGCTTCAGGAACTGGGAAAACAAAATCCACACCTAATGGAGCTCATCCAAGAACATCAAGCTGACTTCTTACGCCTTATAAATGAGCCTGGAGGAGAAGAGTAAGCTGACTATTTTAAGTTTGTTGCATTTTCAGTTTATTATATATTGTATGAACTTTTCAATAAGTTTCAATTTAACTAAGTACATTATTAATTTTTTTATGCTATAGTTATGTTTGTGTGCAAGGTTTTTTTCAAACATCATTGTTAAAAAAATGTTTTTTATGTTGATTAGTTTTTTTTAACTGAAGAGAGAAAAACATAATGTGGTGTATATGCTTTTTCAACCATAATTTATTTTACTTTTTAAATCTCTAAAAAAACCTCCAAATTATTTATATCAAAATCACTTTTTATTTATAACAATCGGGCCCTAGTAATTCAAAATTATACGCGGATGATGAGATTAAAAGAAAAACTGTTAAATGATTTGATAAAATACACGTGACATACATCCATACAAAGGCTACATATAAACTATAGATTATACAAAGGATACATATAAACTATAGATTAATACCGTGAAGACATAATATTTGGGATTTATGGTCATTCACACAGCAAAAGACTATTTAATTTGCTCACTCTATTTGCTGTATTTGTATGACCAGGAACCTAGAGGGTCAGTTGGATGCTGTGGCGCCTCAGACCATCACTATCACCCCAGAAGAGCACGAGGCCATTCAACGGGTGAGCTATTGACAATACTCTATTCAGTTATTTTAATTGTGATCTCCTTATTTGTATTTTTCTACATTAGCTTGTCCATGTTATTTAGATAGAATTCTTCCTGCATCTTTCTCACCCCAAAGGCTGGCGCTGATGATTGTACTTCGGATACATGCATTGCTTTCATTTTTTCTGTCTTGCACAATAATACAATGAAAGTTGCATGAAATATTGCTTGAATGGAACAAAATAGCAGCAGTATATGATATATTCATCACCTTAAATAAAAACCGTAACTGACCATGACTTATTGGCAGCTTGAAGACATGGGATTCGATCGAGACCTCGTGTTGGAAGTGTTCTTTGCATGCAATAAAAACGAGGATCTGGCAGCCAACTATTTATTGGATCACCAAAACGAGTTTGATGATTAGTCTAAATTCCAGTTCATCTCTTGACCTGTGGTATTTCTCGTATCTAGCATTTTTCTGTGCTAGTTCTTGTGCCGATTATTTGTGTTCTGAACTCTTTGGAGAATTGATATTTTATTACCTTTTACTGTCTTTGGGAACTACAATATCTGTAAATTGTTTAAACACCATTGACTAGAAGTTAGAATCGTGTTGGGGATAGACAATAGATTTATTCTTCTCCATTTGTGTATTTCAGTGCATGGTATTTGTTTTAGTTCATGCGCATAAAGTGCAGTGCTGAGAAGATGAGCATTGTGAGTTTGAACTAGTGCACTGCAGCTCTTTTATATATTAGTTGGTGGATGTGTATTTTTCTTTGGGTCAAAGAATATAGAAAATTGTTCACTCAATGGGAGAATAACTTCCTCTAATTTTTTTATTAGAAAAGCTAGTTTACTTTATTAAATTAGACAAATGAATATAAAAACTAATTTTGATAGAGATAAAAGTTCTAATCATTTTACATAGATATAAAAAAATTTTATGTATCCTAAAAGTTATTTTTAGAGATAAAAGTTCTAATATTTGTATTACCCATAATCATTTTAAATACTTGTAAAAAAGCAATGGTTTCAAGTTTGTTACAAATATTTTTGAAAAAATCAGGTTAGAAATGTGACATTCTTATGTTTCATTTTAAAAAGTTGTTTTTAAGTATTTATTTTATGGAACAAAAACGCCCTTTAATTTTATTTATTTTTGTTATGCTTAGACAAGCAAACTCCTATATTCTATTGGCGTCATATTTTAGTTGGCTGTTCTTGTCTAATATTTTAGATGGTTGTTTTTTAAATTCAATGAGGTGCTTACGATCGTTAAAATTAAAAAAATGCATCTAGATCTATCCAATTTACACATTTTCTAATCCAAATTATAAAGCTTCTAATTACACATTTTCTAATCCAAATTATAGACATTCTAATTTTGTTAAAATTTAATTTGGAGATACATCAAGTAATTTTATGGGGATTCATCTCTAGAATATGTTTTTATTAAGTCAAATAAAAAATAACCAAAAACAGTTGTAGAAAGTTGAAAAAACAATACAAATTAACATTTAAATATTTAACATTACATAGATAATCGTTTACGTTAACATAAAACTAACATTACATTTCATTATAAACGGATGGTTCGTGATGTTGCAACATCCTTATGATATCTTCGGTTGATCTTGCAATCATTGCATCAACTTCAATCAGACCATTTGTTGAGTAACAGTAAAATATATTTCATACAATCTTTAAATCTTCATCCGTCTTCAAATCAAGCATGATAAACTGTGTCTTTTTTTGTTGTCAATCGAGAGTGAACGATACTCAAGTTTGACAACTCTTTGATTTTTTGGGTATTGTTAGAAAGTATTCATTTGAAAATTTAGATTGACGAGAAGTAAGTTCTCGAAGACCCTAAATTGAACTGGGAGATTTGCGCAATTGAAATGCACAAATGCAAATGCAAAATAAGAATATGTATTCATTTTGATTTTTGTAAAGAAAATGGATTGACAAATCCTATTTATACAAGTTTTAAAACAATTTGAATCTAAGAAATTATATCCTTTCATCACACATTTCAGATATGCTTATACGGACACACCATATTTTAACAAAATAAGGGTGTTTACGGAGATGCACATCCATAAAATTCCCTAATTTGTTTTTTTAACAATTAAAATGAGGTGTGTCTGAAGATGCATATTCGAACTCACCCAGAGGTTCTCACAGAACCAGTGTATTATGCAGAATCAGTATATTTTTTGCGACAAAAATTGTCTAAAATTCCCCCCAAATTCTATATCATTAAAGTAGAATACACATTATGTATATCTCAAATTGAATCAAAATTACATCATTGACAACATTACATACAAAAAATGTGTTACATTGTTTAAAAAAAAACTAAAATGTATCAAAACACGTGTAACTACCTAAATCTATTGGTGGATCCTTCTTTGACATTTCCTTATTTGATACTCTTTCAATGTCGCTAAATTTGGTGAACTCTTCCATCCTTTTCAGAAAGTGATCTGACCAAGTTTCAACATCTTTTTGTGAAATGTGTCGTTTACTTCGGTGATGTCTTTGGTATATGACATTTCGATTTCAAATAAACTTGAATAAAATGTTGTGTTTTTGAAAGCTACCCAATATACATGATGCGTTCGGATGGATTTTGAGGTGACATACTTCGATGTGGAAAAATGTTTTTGAGAAACTGTATCTTGTCAGATAAATACACACCATATCATAAACACTTGATATAAGATGTCCTATTTCAAGGAAGCACGTCCATTTTTGAATTGGTGTTGGGCCACTAACACAAGGAACAAGAGCATTGAGAATTGTATCGTAATTTTCCTTTTTCTCGTATAGCGATGTGTATGATTTCCTATGTGTCGTCATCTCTTGTATAAGATGATGGTGGAAAAATTGGCGATTCCTTTGTTCTTTACCGAGTAAACCCGAAACAACTCGAAAACCCCAATTGTCGTCACCTTTAACATTTACAATCCGCTCAATGTATTTATGCATAAAAGGAGGTATATCTTCAACGAATATGATTTTTGGTAATGGTGTTGGAGGAGATGGTTTGCGATTTTTGGTAATGGTGTTGGAGGAGATGGTTTGCGATTTTTGGTAATGGTGTTGAAGGAGATGGTTTGCTAATGTGAGCACCATTGAAAATACTTATTTGAGATTTTGGAGTTGGTGAATTTGGAAAACATGAGTCAACATGTTCAAAGTATGAAGAAACTGCCTCATAGAGTTGTCACTATGTGTCAGGTTGACCTTTTTAGGAGTACCCTTTATTTTAACCTATTCCGAAGGTGGTCTCAAATCTGTTGTTTCTTAATAGACATTCTTCCTCAAATTCTTTTTTATGTGCAATTTCATGATGTCATCAAATTTCAAAAATCTCTCTTGGGTTACTTCCCATTCGATTATAACAATTATACTTGATGTATCATCTTTCATCACATAATTATCATCAAACTGGAGCCTTTTTCTAATGAGTATAAACTTCATCCGTACGTATCAGTTTATCAAGCTTCATTTTCTTTGCAATTACATAAACACATGAAAGACCGTACGTCATCTTATATGTACAACCATACTTTGAACTATTTGAACGTGTTTTATCTGCTCGCTTGACTTTGTGAAAAATAAAATTCAATGTCGCCCAAAAATATGTTGCCAATCAACTGTGAATAAAGGTTGTTGTCTTTGAATCGATGTTCTAACATAGTAATGCTCCTACTAAAAGATGTTTGTATCTCATTGCGTTGGTTTTGAAGCATTTCGTTCACGGTGTCCCAATCTCGACAAAAACACCTTTATTGTTTTCCAACCCATTCTTCAGTCTAGCACGAGCAGATTCAACTATGTTAGTTATTGTATTGCCAAAGTGTCTAACCTGATCGGTCCAGACACAAAAAATATTCTCCTTCACCTGGTCCAAAATAGTACTCTCAACATATTTCAGGAAATCTAGATATCTCGCACACACTGTCCTGAAATGTATTAGATATTCAACATATAAATCTTTCTTGGAAGAGTTTATTATTCCATTTCATGCTTCCATTATCTTTTCCAACACCACACAAGGTTTGACAATTTTTCTAACTTCACCTTTGATTTGTTTGGTACCTACCATAGGTTTTAGTCTATTTCTCACATTTTTGGTTATGTGATACTTACAAAGTAATGCATACAATGTAGGAAACACAGTTACAACCGAATTCATCAGTGCGATGTCGTGATTAGTGACAACTACATTTGACATGTTCTCTTGGTTCTTCAACATAGTCTTGCACATTTCTAAAGCCCATGTAACATTGTCCTTTTTTTCTCTTCAGATTCTAAAAATGCAAAATTGACAGAAAAAGTCACCTCCGTAGAAGAAACACCAACACTTTTTTGGAGTGGAAGTCTATACTTGTTTGTTTTGTATGTTTAATCAATTATGAGCACAGTAGAAAATGTGTTGAACAACTTGTTGGAATCAGAATGACTCCAAAATATATCTCGACTTGTGACTTTATCCTCATAAACTATGTAGCTAGAAACATAATGGCCATCCTCCAAAAGCTTCAATAATTGTTGCATTTCAGATCTCGGACCTCTTATTGCCTTGTTGTGTCGAGCACATACATTTTATACTTGTTTCATATTTGAAACATTTAGAAGTCTTTTCTGTTTCAAAGTTGTAAGTATGTTTTTCGGCGCCACCATGTTTAATGTCATGTTCGAAACAAGTTTCCCCTCCTTGGAATAAGGCGACATACAATGGGATGAACGGCTAGCTTGTCACTCAAGGCATGGTTATGCATACCAGAAACCACATTAAATTTCCATGTATCATTCGCCTTACGATATCCACGCAATTTAAATGGACACTCACATTTTCTTGATTCGGTGTCATCACGTTTTAAATTCCTAATTGTTGGTTTGTACGTGTCACACCTTTTGCATCTCATTGTTACAAATGTTTATCCTCTATTAAAACCATTTCCAGAACTTCCAATTATAACATTAAATGCCAATTTCCCGACCTCCATGCAGACCCATTGTAATATATGTTCACGAAAAATAAACTCTTATTTATTTGTAAATTGTTCGCGCATATCTACCTCAACAACAACCAGTCTAAAACCGGGTTTAACATCATCTGATTTAACATCATACTTCACTTTTTCCGATTTAACACTCATCTTCACAATAGCTTTAGGAAACATATATGGGTGTATCATATCTAATACATCCAGTAACAGAAAACAAATTTAAAATTCAAAGTATTAGGAAAATTTGGAGATGCATATCTGGACCATACCAAACTTTGTTCGGATTTACATATCCGAACTCAACATTCATATTTCCAGCTCACAAAACACATTAATGCAAATATTGAAAGATGGAATGAATGAAATTTAACTTAAATTCCAGCTTGTTTTGCTCCCT